ATTTATAACTGATACTAGCATGTAGTTTTCTTTCTTTGTGTTGTCATTATCTGGTTTAAGTTGCAATATATTTCCTTTATTAAGGAATTAGGGACTTTTCCTTTATTTTCAATGCACTGGAATAATTTATATGGCACTAGGACTCTCTGGTCCTTCAAAGTTTGATAGAATTTTCCAGTGCCTTTTTTATTACAGTCTTGCTCTTTAATAACTTTAAATTAATTTAATAAAAATTAAAATTAATATAATTTAAATTTAAATAAATTTAAATTTTCAATGAAAAGTGATCTGTTCCAACTTTCTAATTCTATTGGAGTCAGTTTTGGTAACCTGTATTTCTCTAAGAAATTATCTGCTTCATATAGGTTTTCATATTTATTTGGATAGAGATATCAATTCTTTTCATTATTGATTCCCATTTTTAATTCTTATTTTCTTCTATAGCTTTTCTTCCATTTACTTAGTTTTTCTAGTGGTGTAAACTGGGAATTTAAATTAAGCTCTCTGTTTTTCCCGTACTCCTGTTCTGATCATCTTGGTTATTTTTTTCATATTTTTCAGTTCAAAATGGGATTAATCTCTCTGGTGGTCACTTCAGCTCATCTTTAGGCTCTTTGGTAGAATTCCTCCTCTGTCTCTCTAGACTCTTTTTTTTTCAGTCAGCCATTGCTAATCACAGAGTCATTTATCTGGGGCAGGGAGGGATTGGATCTTATGGGACTGCCATCTGGGAATTGTTGCTTTTTCTGTCTCTTTTTTAAACAACTATATTGAGGTATAATTCACATAGTATAAAATTCATGCTTCTAAAGTGAACAGTTCAGTGATTTTAAGTATGTTCACAGGGATCTTCAACCATTACCCCTAATTTTAGAGTATTTTCGTCACCTTGGAAAGGAATCCAATATCAGTTAGCATCCCTCCACATTCCTGCCTCCTCCTAACCCCTGGATACTGCTAATCTACTTTCTGTCTCTATGAATTTGACTATTCTGGACATTCCATGTGCATGGAATCATACAGTGTGTAGCTCTTTCTATCTGGCTTCTTTTACTTAGCATATTTTCAAGATTCAGCCTTGTTGTAACATGTATCAGTACCTCATTCCTTTTTATGATATGGATATAATCACATTTTGTTTATCCATTCATCCATGCATGGCTATTTGAGTTTCCATTTTTGGCTATTATGAATACTACTGCTATGAGCATTTGTATAAAAGTTTTTATGTTGGCATATGTTTCATTTCTCTTGGGTATATACTTAGGATGGAATTGCTGGGTCACGAGGTGAGGTGGTTCAACTTTTTAAGCAACTACTGAACGGTTTGCCAGAGCAGTTGTACTGTTTTACATTCCCATCAGCTATGCATGTAGATTACAGTTTATCCACTTTCTTGACAAAACATTTTATTGTCCCCTAATTTTTTTATTGTGGTAAAATACAAATAATATAAAATTTACCATTTTAACCATTTATAAATACACACTTTGGTGGCATTAAGCACATTCACAATGTTGTACAACCATTACCACTAGCCATCTGTAGAAATGTTTCAGAATCCCTTACTGAAACTCTGTACCCATTAAAAATAATTCCCCATTCACCTCTCCCCCAGCTCCTGGCAGTAAGTGTTCTACTTTTTGTCTCTCTGTATTTGACTATTTTAGGAACCTCGTAGAACACTTGTACTTGTGTTCATATAACACTTGTCATTTCGTGTCTGGCTTACTTCACTCAGCATAGCGTCCTCAAGATTCATCCATGTTGTAGCATTTGTCAGCCTTTCATTTCTTTGTAAAGGTGAATGACACTCCGTTATGTGTATATGCCACTTTTTGTTTATCCATTCATCTGTCACCTGACATTAAGGTTGTTCCCACCTTTTTGTTGTTGTGAATAATGCTGCTGTGAACATGGGTGTACAAATGTCTCTTGCTTTCAGTTCTTTTGGGTGTATCTGTAGGAATGGAATTGCTGAATCACGTTTTAGTTTAAATCTCCACTTAACCTTCTGAAGGACCGCCATACTGTTCCACTGTGGCCACATTATTTTACTTCGGTTCCAGTTTCTCTACATTCTTGTCAACATTTGTTATTTTCTGTGTATGTGTGTATGACACACACGTATATGTACAAAATAGCCACATTAATGGAAGCGAAGTGGCATGCCGTGGTTTGGGTTTGTGGTTGCTGACTGATCAGTGATACACTGAACATCTTTTCATGTGTTTATTGGCCATTGGTATATCTTCTGTAGAGAAATGTCTACTCAAGACGTTTGCCCATTTTTTAATTGGATTGTTTGTTTTCTTATTGTTGAGTTGTCATAGTTCTCTATATTTCTGGATACTAACTCTTTATCAGATACATAATTAGCAAATACTTTCTTACAGTCTGTAGGTTGTCATTTTATTCTGCTGATAGTTTCCTTTCATGTGCAAAAGCTTTTAATTTTGATGAAGTACAATTATTTGTCTATTTTTTCCTTTGTTGCCTGTGCTTTCAGTGTCCCATCCCAGAAACCATTGCTAAATCCAAAGTCATGAAGTTTTTGCCCTGGTTTTTTTTTTTTTTTTTAAGAATTTTAAAGTTTTAGGTCTTACACGTAAGACGCGGCTTCGCTGGAGGTAGTTTCTGTGCACAGTGTTAGGTAAAGGGCCAGCTTTATTTTTTGCCTGTGCGTATCGTCTCCCCAGCACCATTTTATGAAAAAGCTGTCTTTCCCCAATTGAATCATTTTGGCACCCTTGTCAAAAATCATTTGCCCATATAAGTGAAGGTTTATTTTCAGACTTCCTAGTCTATTCTGTTGGCCTTATATGTCCATCTTTATGCCAATACTACAATGCTTCATTTACTATAACTTTCTAGTAAGTTTTGAAATCAGAAAGTGTGAGTACTCCAGCTTTGTTCTTTTTCAAGACTATTTTGTCTTTTCAGAGTCCCTTGAGTTTTAGGGCGTGTTTTTCTATTTCTGAAAAAAAAAGGCTTTGAAATTTTGATAGGGATTGCATTTAATCTCTAGATCACTGCAGTATTGCCATCTTAATAGCATTAAATGTTACAATCCACAAATACCTGATGTCTTTCCATTTACCTAGGTCTTCTTTACTTTTTGCAATGTTTGTAGTTTTCAGTGTACAAATCTTTTACCTCTTCTTTGAGTTAATTCCTAAACATTTTATTCTTTTTGATGCTGTCGTAAATGAAATCCTTTTCCCTGTTTCTGGTTTGGATTGTTCATTGTTAGAGTAGGAAAGAAAGCACAACTGATTTTGTGTGTTGATTTTTGTATCCTGTTACTTTGCTGAATTTGTTTATTAATTCTAACAGGTTTTTGTGGAATCTTTAGGATTTTCTACATAGAAGATTAACGTCATCTGTGACCAAGATCATTTTACTTCTTGTTTTCCAATTTAGATACCTTTTAATTATTTTTCTTGTCTGATGGCTCTGGCTAGAAATTCCAATACTATGTTGAATCAAAGTGATAAAAGTGGGCATGCTTGTCTTGTTCCTGAGTTCAGAGGGAAACATTTCAGTCTTTTACCATCAGGTATGATGTTAGCTATGGGTTTTTTAAGGCGAGTATTGTGTTAGGAGAGTTTCCTTCTAGGCTTAGTTAATTGAGTTTTTTTTTTTAATCTTGAGAAGGTGTTAAATTTTGTCACATGCTTTTTCTGCATCAGTTGAGCTGATCATGTGATTTTATATCTTCATTCTGTTAATGTGATGTGTTGCTTTAATTGGTTTTCATATGTTGAACCATTTTTCCAGGGATAAATCTCATTTGGTCATGGTGTATAATCATTTCAATATGCTGAATTTCATTTGCTAGTACTTTATTGAGGATTTTTAAATCAATATTCATAAGGAATATTGGTCTTCAGTTTTCTTTTCTTGGAGAGATTTTATCTGGCTTTATTATCAGGGCAATGTTGGCCTCATAGACTAAGTAGGGAAGTATTGCCTTCTCTTTAGTTTCTTGGAAGAGTTTAAGAAGTCTTGGAACTACTTCCTCTTTAATGTTTGGAAGAATTCAACAATAAAACCATCTGGTTCAGAACTTCTTTTTTATTGTTGTTGGGAGATTTTGATTACTGATTCAGTTGCCTTACTAATAATGTGTCTATTAAGATTTTCTATTTCTTTGTAATTCATTTTGGGCAAATTTTGTTTTTCTAAGAATTTGCTCATATTGTCTAGCTATCTAATTTTTTTGTCATATGATTGTCCATAGTTTTTCCTTATAATCTTTTTCATTTCTTTGGAATCCATAGTAATGTCACCACTCTCATTTCTGATTTTAGTAATTTGTGTCTTCTTTCTTTTGTTATTGTCAGTCTCACTAAAGTTTTATCAGTTTTGTAGATCTTTTCAAAGAACTGATTTTGGTTTTGTTGATTTTCTTTATTGTTTTTCTATTCTCTATTATTTTGGCTATTATCTTTATTATTTTTTTCCTTCTGCTAGCTTTGGGTTTGGCTTGTTCTTTTTCTAGTTACTTAAGTTGTAAAGTTCTGTTGTTTATTACATCTTCAGATTTTCTTCCTAGCACTGTTTTCACTACACCCCATATGTTTTGGAAAGTTGTGTTTTCCATTTTCATTCCTCTGTAACTAATTTCTGATTTCCCCCCAATTAGACATGGTCTGTAAGATGAAAAAGATTAACCTATTCACTCCTGTTGCAAGAAATTACAGAAGGTAGAATTTAAATTTTGGTTTTTTTATGGAAAAGTTTAAACATACATAAAAGCAGAGAAAATAGTATAATGAACTCTTGTGTATCCATCACCCAATTTCAACAGTTATCAGCTTACTGTCATTTTTGTCTCATCTCATCACCATTGGTTCTCTACTGGGAGTGATTTTGTCATTTATTAATGCCTTGAAACATTTTTGATTTTTGCAACTTGAGGGAGGGTAGGAGTGGTGGAAAGGGTAGGGGCTAATGCACAGGGCAGCCCTGCACAGCAAAGAATTATCTAGCCCAAAATGGCAGCTGAGGTTGAGAAATCCCACAGGATTAAAAATCTCCCTCTCTCTCTGTTAAATATCTTTGTATTTTTATAATATTGAGTTGATTTATCCAAGAATAAGGTTTTTCCATTAGTTCAGGTATACTTGAACAACATTCAAGACTGTTGTAAATTTTTCCCCAGATAATCTTTTCATATTTCTTGTGGATTTATTTTCCTAAATCTTTGTGTAAATGAAGGTTACTGATTTACATAAAGTGTGTTAATTTTATATTCTCTTATGTTACTGATCATGTTTCATCATTGATTCTTTTAGGTTTTTCTAGCTATAGTATTATACCATCTGCAAATAGAAGTGTTTTTATTTCCTCTTTACTCATCTTTATGCCTCTAATTGATTGTGCTTGTGTAATTGTATTGGTTAATACACCTAGTACAGTGTTGAATAGAGGCAAAAGTAATGGACATCCTTGCCTTGTTCTTGATCATAGTGGAAATGTCTTTAGAGTTTCTTCATTAAATAAGACACTGGCTTTAGGACTAAAGTATATGTATTTTATCTTGTTGAGGAAGTATCCCTCAATTCATGTTTTCTTGAATGTTTTTGTTATCAACGGTGCTGAATTTTTTTAAGGCTTTCTCACTGTTTCTAGATATACTTATAATTTTTCCCCTTAGGTACATACATTATAATAATATATTGTGGTAAGTGGTATTCTAAGGGGACTAGATTATTGGAGCTCAGAGTTAGGTAAGAGTGCACAGAGGAGCTGACCCTGGAATTGAGTCTGATGGCTGCAGAGAAATTTGGCATGTAGGAAAAGTAGGGAAGACATTCAAGATTAGAAATAATTACACAAACGAGAATAGTGTCATGGAGATAATTTATGAGCCTGTCATAGGCTTTGGGTATTAGACTGCATTTCCCAATTCCTCTAACACCTTCTCTCCATTCTTTGGTCACTCATACACTATGACCTTCTTTAAATGAGCATCCTTTATTTTATTCACCGGAGTACTTTAGCTCTCATCCATTATTGTTTATACAGTGTTACTTCCCTATTTTTTTCCTCTTGCTAGTTTCTTTTAGCCAGAAAGCAAGCCCTTATTTCGATTTCATTAGTATTTATTTCTTCGACACATTTAGTCATCATTGGCAATTCTTTTCTATTGTTGTTTGTTTGTTTGTTTGTTTGCTTCAGAATGTAAGAGCAGTCCTAAAACCACAAAGTCAACTCAAACTCAAGACTCATCGTTTGGGGGGCTAATAAGGAAAAGACTCAAAAGGGATGAACCCTGGAACTTCTTATCAGAAAAACCCTGCATATATGAAGACAGAGTAAAGAAACAGAACAGAAATGAAATTTTACAAGTGATTTCAATCACCCATACAAGAAGCCATAAAAATAATGACTTTGGCCAAAATTTCAGCCTGAAATCAGTGTTTGTTAAGCAACAGAGGATTGCTAGAGAAAAAACACTCTCAAAATATGAAATACAAAGAAATAGCTTCAAGCAGAATTCAAATTTACTTAACCAACCAAAACTCAAGACAGCAGAGAAACGCTATAAATGTAATATATGTGAAAAAGCCTTCATTCACAATTCATCCCTTCGTAAACATCAGAAAAACCATACTGGAGAGAAATTATTTAAATGTAAAGAATGTTTGAAAGCCTTCAGCCAAAGTTCAGCTCTTATTCAACATCAAAGAACTCATACTGGAGAGAAACCCTATATATGTAAAGAATGTGGGAAAGCCTTCAGCCACAGTGCATCCCTTTGTAAACACCTAAGAACCCATACTGTGGAGAAATCCTATAGATGTAAAGAATGCGGTAAATCCTTCAGCCGAAGGTCAGGCCTTTTTGTACATCAGAAAATCCATGCTCGAGAAAATCCCCACAGATACAACCCAGGCAGGAAGGCGTCCAGTTGTGGTACATCCCTTCCTGGATGTCAGAGAATTCATTCCAGGAAGAAGTCCTATTTATGTAATGAATGTGGCAATACCTTTAAGTCCAGCTCATCCCTTCGTTACCATCAGAGAATTCACACTGGAGAGAAACCTTTTAAATGTAGTGAATGTGGGCGAGCCTTCAGTCAGAGTGCATCTCTCATTCAGCATGAAAGAATTCACACTGGAGAGAAGCCCTACAGATGTAATGAATGTGGAAAAGGCTTCACTTCCATTTCACGGCTTAATAGACACCGAATAATTCATACTGGGGAGAAACTGTATAATTGTAATGAATGTGGTAAAGCCTTAAGTTCCCACTCGACGCTTATTATTCATGAACGAATTCACACTGGAGAGAAGCCATGCAAATGTAAAGTGTGTGGGAAAGCCTTCAGACAGAGTTCAGCCCTCATCCAGCATCAGAGGATGCACACTGGAGAAAGGCCCTACAAGTGTAACGAGTGTGGGAAAACGTTCCGGTGTAACTCATCCCTCAGTAATCATCAGAGAATTCACACGGGAGAGAAGCCGTACCGATGTTTGGAGTGTGGGATATCTTTCGGCCAAAGTGCAGCTCTTATTCAACATCAGAGGATTCATACGGGAGAGAAACCGTTTGAATGTAAATCATGTGGGAAAACTTTCAGACAAAGCTCATCACTTATTGCACATCAAAGAATTCATACTGGAGAGAAACCTTATGAGTGTAATGCATGTGGGAAACTCTTCAGCCAGAGGTCATCCCTTACTAATCATTATAAAATTCACATTGAAGAGGACTCCTTGGAAGTAGATTTGTGTGTGTGAATTCCTTAAACCAAAGCTCATTAGTGTACAGTCACCCCTCCGTATCAGTGGGTTCCCCACCCACTGATTCAAATAACCATGAACCAAAAATACTTGGGAAAAAATTCCAGAAAGTTCCAAAAAGCAAAACTTGAATTTTCCACACACCAGCAACTGTTTACATAGCATTTATGTTGTATGAGGTATTATAAGTAACTTAAAGATGATTTAAAGTATACGGGAGGATGTGCATATGTCATATGCAAATTCGACACCATTTTATATACGGAACTTGGTCATCAGATTTTGGTATCTGTGGGGGGTGGAGTCCTGGAATCAGTCCTTCACAGATGCTAAGGGACAACTGTATACATACTTGAGAATGATTTAACAAATGTAATGAAAATAAGAAAAATTCTGTTTTAATTCTCATCAGATACTAAATTCTAAGGATAATATGTAATAAATACATGAAAAAGTTTCAAACCTGTCAGTCACTTTTTAAAATATCCTAAGACAAATAAATCATAATTCCAAGTATTTATTTTGGTCATCTGTAAGATAAAAGGTAAGATTTTTATCTCTCTTTATATGGCATTATACGCTATATGTGATACCTGTAAGCATGAGAAGAATCTGGACACAGGGGTGCTGGATTTTTGATTAGAAAGATACCAGCTGTATAAGCCAGTGGCATATTTATCACCACTAACACGTTAATAGCAATAAGCAGAGTCTTAAAGTATGTGCACTTGTAGCGCAAAGGACCAAATAGTAGATAAGAACAAACTGCAGGCTACCTCAGTGCCTGGAACTTGCCTTTTCCTAAACTATTTGCAAACTTCGTGCATGGTTTTCATTAAAAAAAAAAAAGAGAGCCCCAAACCCCCCAGAAAACTGTTCTCTTCCTCTTTTATTTTTCTAGTTACTTCCAAACTACATTTAACCATCTCCCAAATTTTTTACACAATTTCTAATTTTGTTTTCAGAATTATTTTTCTTTGTTGCATTGAAATTATATTTATTATATAACTATACTTGCTATGTTCTGAACAGCATGTTAACTAGAAGAAATACAGTTTGATTAGGAGTTTAATTAGGTAGTCACTTCCAAGTCAAGGCTGTGAATGTTTTTTTAGCGTGCTACAGGAGAAATCTTAAGAACCTATCACCTGTGCCAAAGTCTTAAAAAGGAATCAGTTTCATGAAATATAAGCATGTTTTCCCCACGTAAGGTTTTCTAGTTTTTAAAAATCTCAGGCTGCAAAGGAAAATAAAAGAAGGGGGAAAATTCAAAATCTTTTAAAAACTGGTTTGCTCAGTAAATGTTTGTTTAACACCAGGTCTAAGCCAGGTATTGCTGCCGGCACTGGAAATCGTGCAAGAGAAAGGAATAGTGAACTGAGGGGCGAAAGGATGGGGCAGGAGGGAATGACGAATGAGGTAAGCAAACTATCATAATGTGTTAAAGTAGTTTTCACAGAAACAGATGTTACAGTGATACTACGTGACAGAACACAAATGCTGTAGAGATCTTTGCAGGGCGCAGAAAGAAGGAATGGACACTAACCAGGGTTGCCTGAAAAGACCAGTGACAGGGTCCCCGAGACAGTGATGCCTGAGCCCTGTTTTGGAAGGGCAACAGGAATTCTCCAGAGAGTGAGATGAATACTTCAAAAAGAGGGAGCGCATATGCCAAGGGAAAGGTGGGCGGCAGCATGACACGTTTATAGAACACCTGTTAAGTGATGAGAAGACATGTTGAAACTTGCGAAGAAGGCAGAGGCCAGATCTTGTCATCCTAAATAACTTGAATTTGATTCTGAGATTTATAGAGCCAATGAAAGACTTTATGTAAGGGAAATTGTTCTGGCAAGAAGGTGCAGAGAGTGAAGTAAGGAGGTTGAAGACGGCTGAACAGACTGAAGCCTACACATATGGGCTGTTACAGTAACTTGAACAATAAGTAAGGCTCTAAACTCAAGCAGGAACAGTGGAGTGAAGAATATGTGGTAAAACAGGACATATTTTTTGCAGTCAAATAATTGAGAGAGGTAAGTTGAGAAGAAAGGTAGGTTGACTCGCAGATTTCTGCCTGGTTACCTGGATGGATGGTAGTGCCATGCACTAAGCAGGCAGTACAGGAGGCGAACAAGTCTGACTTTATATGTGTTGAATTGGTCATACATACAGATTTAAAAGGAAAATAGGAGCCAGAAGACTAGAATTCAGCGTAATTAGAATATATAGTTGGTAGTCAAAACCATGGTACATGAGCTTGGCCAGCAGAGTGTACAGGTTATAATGAGAAGCAAGGATCAAACATTAATAAATAGATAAGGAGTTGGTGAAGGAAAAGAAGAGAGTGGTGTCTCTGAGGCCAAAGGAGAACAGAACCTCAGTGGTGTCAGGTGCCACAAACCACGTACCAGGGAGAGGATGTCGGAATTGGTGGCTAGAACATTGGAGACCTTGGCAAGAGCAATTTCTGTGAATTGGGGTGAACAGAAGAACAGATTATTCTAAGTTAGATGGAAGATGAGAACTCTCAGGCTGTTTGAGACTGTTTCAAGAAGTTTAAGTGAAGGGAAGAAAAGGGTTGTTTGTAGAGGGGAGAAGATGAGTTAGGGAGCATTTCTGTGTTAATAAATGAGGCAATAATGTATGAGCATGAATTAAAGAAGAGATCATTGGGTAGAACATACTTTCTGCGATACGAAAGAATTAGACCATAGAGAGAAACTAACCCTACCTTGGGCTGAAGGGCAAAGCCTACAGAAAGGTAAGAAAGCAGGTAAGTTTCTATTTGATTTAGAGGTGAAGGAATTTCTATCTGCTGACCGTATTTTCTGTAAAACAGGAGAAAGATTTCATTTTTTAAAATGTTTGGATCTTTGGGTACTTAAAAATGTTAAATTAATGAGTTTCAGACTGCTTTGGAGATTTCTGTAGGAAGTCATGGCTCTGAGTTCACTCAATACTTTTTCAGGAAGAAAGCTCCACTGTTATCAACTCTATACGTTTGGCATCTGTGTTACTTTTTGTCTTTTTAAGAAAAAAATTTGCTGGTAAATTAAAGTTTAAAAAATACCTATTTTAAGAGAGTGATAAACCTGAAAAGAGACTGGAAGGAAATGCAGAAGTACAACCGACGTGTGGAGGCAGACGGGCAGGCATTGACACGGGGCTGTGCACTCACTAGCAAGGGGGCGTAAGAGGACGTGACGTGCTCACTGTACTGTTGTAAACGGTGTTTTTTAAGCTTCATTTTTTCCGTTATTTGTTACTAGTACATAGAAATACAATTGATTTTTATATATTGATCTTATATCCAGTAACCTTGCTAAATTGACTTTTTCTAACAGTTTGTTAGTCTTTGGTACTTTCTGCAAACACAATGATCATCTATAAATAATAGCCATTTTAGTTTTTCTTTTCTAGTTGTAATACGTTAAAATTAAAATTTTAACTTAATACATTAAATTTTTTTTCTTACATGATAGTACTATATAGCACATGCCAGTACAATGTTGACTACAAATGATAATATTCATTTTTCACCACTTAATGTGACATTGGCTTTAACTTGTGGATATTTGTTACCAGAATAAAGACATTCCCTTGTATTCCCAATGTGCTGTGAGTTTTTATCATAAATGAGAGTAGTATTTTGTCACACTCGTTTTCTGTATTTAATGAGATAATCATATTGTTTTTCTCTTCATACTTTTAAAAGAGAATTATATTGACGGAATGTTTATGCTAACCAGTGTTGCATTCTTGAAATAAATTCTGCTTGCTCATGATACCTCATCGTTTATGTGTATATGCTTAGAAGATCAGGTTTCTTCCTTAATAAATAGAAACCTGACGAAGTGACCAAGATTGTGTTCTAAGGGCTCAGAGCAGAATTGTTTATCATCCAAATCTGAAGGATGGATGGAATCGTAACGCCTAGAGAGAGAAAGGGGAGGGCAAGGACAAGAGCGCCACGAGAGTGAAAAGCTCAGAGGGAGGGTGAATACAGAAGTGATGGGGTCAGTTTTTCCCTGTTGTTTGGCTAGAGTAGAGTGGGTATTATCTAAGTTTTCCGTCTTGCGCGGGTACCCCTTTCCTGGTCCTTTTGCTAAAGAAACTAGGCTTTTGTTGGGGTTTTGTCATTTTTTCTCAGCAGAAAACTTGCAGGCCAGGAGGGAGGGGCATGATATATTCAAAGCGCTAAAAGGAAAACATCTGCCAACCCATGTATTACATCCAGCAAGACTGTACTTCAGAAATAAAGGAGAAAGTAAGACTTTTGCAGACAAACAAAAGCTGTATATTATGATATTTTGATATCTTAAACAAAACAAACGAACATACAAAAATAAAACCTTTCTGGCTGCAGACAGACTGCCCTTCCTATGGCTAAGTCAGGTCTTAGAGATGGCAAGTGAAGCAGCTGGGAGAATGCTTTTGATATGCAAACTAATTCAGACCTCTGTCTGGCCTGTGTACACCAGAAGGCAATATTTCTCTGACTTAATCATCCCAGAGCTAGCCAGATACAAGGGAACCAGGGACCACCCCCATAGCCCAATGCCGGTGAAATCACTCAATCTAGCCAGTCCTAAGCTGTTCACCCTGCCTCCCTTGCCTGCCCTGCAAAACTGAAGGAAGGCTCTGGCCTAAACCTTCCCCTTCCTGTCTTCTGCCTCCTGGCCACCCTGGTGTCTTTTCCATGTGGCCCTGTGTGGAACGCCATGTCTCCTGTCCCTGGGACCTGTGACTATGATAAACCTTGTTTGTTCTTTTCTGAGCCTATTCTGTGTCCTTTCCACAGTCACACCCAACTGACCATCTCATAAAAGAATACAAAATAATGAATATTTCTACATATTTAAATCTGATAATTTTCGATTAAATAGACCAATACCTTGAAATGCAATCTGAATAGTTCTATATATTAAGGAGATGTAATTTATAATTAAAAGTCTCCATCCAAAAAAACTCCAGGTGCAGAGATTATTTCCCTGGATAATTCTAAGTGTTAAGCTTCTGATATTATAATTCAATGCGTGCAACCCTTGTCTCTCAAACAGAATTGGGATCTAGGTTTAAATGAATTTAAGTCCTGTCTTTAAGACCATGATCTTGTTCAGAATCAGATGGGGTCCACCACTGCCGCTGAACCTGAGGTCGGCCAACAGAAGACCTGTAGAGATGACCAGGCAGGACTCGAGGTTCACAGAACCCATAACAGCACTCTGATGTCTTAATATAGTTCACTTTTGAGAGGGGAAATCCAGAACTCTGACCCTCAGGAATGTGGATGGGCCAGCCACGGAGCCGGTCCTGGGAAGTGGGAGTTGGTCTTCTGCACAGGGAAGAGCTGACTGGGACGGGCACCTCCAGGACTGGGTTAGGTGGCCCAGACCTACTCCCGGGATCACTGCCTCTGAGCCTGCCTTCCTCAGGGGCCACGACCACCCTGAACAAGGCCCTCAGCAGACTCCCGCAGCACCATTGCTTTGGGTCCCAGGTATTGAGGAGTAACTAGGAGAGAGAGGCAAGGACAAGCTCAGAGTGTGATGTCCTTCCAGTCTTGTGAGGACAGGACCATGGACAAAGGCTGGTCTCATAATTTTCTACCCGGCTCAGGGCACAGTGTGATGGGCTGGGCTAGCCCCTGTTGGTGACTTAAGGACCATGAAGCGGAATATAGAAGGGACATACCTGTGGGGACGTGTTCCTCCCAGCTCTGGCCCAGGGTTGCTGCAGGACTTCTCCATAAGGACGGGCCAGTGTTCACTTGTTGGCCTCATGAATATTCCGGTCTCACAAACTTGTCAGCATCTGGGGACATTGTTTCCAGTTCTTTATGGCCCTTGGCTGGAGACCCTGGAAAATTGTCTTTGCCACTATGTGATTCTTCTTCCTTGACTCAAGATGAAATTTCCAAAGGATTCCGCGTTCTTGTAGGAAATTCTGGATTTCCTGGTCTCTCCAAGGACTGGCCAGGAAGGGACAGAGAAAGGTGGGTGCACCTTGGCATGGCTTACTGCGACACTTGAGCGGTTTTCAGAGGCCCTCCTCCACACTGACGAGGCCCACTATGCCTTTCTGTCTGTCAGTGAGAGAGGATAAAACCTTAACGAGGAGGTCGGGAGCCAGCATCGCTGGGAGAAGTAGCGTCCAGTCCCTCTTCTCACGGGCTTGCCAGGAGGCGTCTGTGTGTCCGGGTGTTGTTCAAGTTCACTCATGAATGACGAAGTCTGAAAGCTGACAGAACACAAGGACTTTGACTAAGTATTTTGTGGCCTGGAAGGGCTCTCCCTTTGTTTCAAGAAAGCGATCTGTGCTCAGAAGGGCCCTGGTCACCCTCTGCTCACCAGGACTGCATGGGCAAAGTCAGAGTTCCAGGTACGTGGAGCCACAGGCCCCCGCCCCCAGAGCTGCCCTGTGGGCCTGGGAGGGGAACCAGGGCTGGTGCAGGTCCTGAGGCCTGGGCAGAAAGTCTAGAGAAAAAGAAAACTGGCTGTTAGAATGTTGTGATCAGAAAGCTTCTCTTGCACTTGAATTTCTTTTCCTTCCTTTTCAGTGTAGAGAGATACATCCTCCACAGACAGAGTGGGGCCTGTCTCTCTCAGAAGGGAAGACGGCTCAGGAGACGCACACTCCACAGGCGGAGTGTGGGCCGTCTCTGAACGGCGAGAGGGAGCGACCAGGAGGTGTGGGGGTGTTTAGTGTAAAGCAAAAGCAGATGCACACTCTATGGACGGAGCGGGGGCCATCTCAGGGGGCAAGAGAGACAGAGCGGCCACGAGGCGCGGGAGCTGTTGGGTTTTACGGGCTTGTAATTTCACACGCTAATGAGTAGGGGGATTATTCCAACTACTTTGGGGAAGGGGTGAAGATGTCCAGGAAACACCCCCCTCCCCCTACTTTTTGACCTTCTGTTGTCAGCCTAGGAGCAGTCATGGTGCCTGGGGGTGTGCCATGAGTCCAGACTTCTGCCATCTTGGTCCTAACCGGTTTGTCCTATCCTCAGTGGCTGTGTCGCTCCTTCTATGGTTGTGCCCTGCTGCCTTTCCTCCCACTTTATTGAGAGTTTTCAAGCATGTACACTATACTTCAATATTTCTTAAGTTTATAAAATGCAAAATTAAACAAAGGAAAACAGTTCTAAAACCTATCCATCAGCTTCCTCAGATGCTCCCCAAGACTTCTCTAACTTCCTGAGAATGCCTCACTGACTAGCTTTCTATAAAGCTTCAGCCTCTTGCCACGTGGCTGGCCTCTGTCTTACTTCGCTCTTCCCAGTGCACCCTCCAGAGACCATCTGGATGGCTGCTGTGGTGGGGGACGGGGAATTGTTCATAATGTTTGGGAAAGGAATCTGCCTTAAAAAGTTTCCTCCTTGTCCCATTTATACTTTTTGTTTAAGCCCCACCCTCCACCTTCAGTCCCAGTTCCAGAAGTTTCTGGTATTACCGCTCCTGCGCTTTTGAGATTTCTGATGTATAAAGTCAGACTGGCTTTCAGCTTTTCTTACTGCTGTTCGGGGATTTGGCATTTTTCAGTTTTGTCAAGAAAATAACATCCGTCTACTTTTCAGGTCCAAGATGTTGTTGGTGTGTCCTTACCTGTCCTCTCCTGAACTTGTAAATTAACTTTTCAAATAATCCCTTTATTTTGGTTTCACTGGATTTTTGGAAAGGAACAAAATTTGATGTACTGTTAAAGAAAAAAGTATTATCCTATGTGTTAAAAAATTGTTCGTGACATTTGTTCAAGAAAAGTGAGGCAGAGTTTATTGGGGGGGCATCATGATGGGTATAGGGACCACTGCAGTGGGGAATGGAGATTGGGCTTAATTCTGAATATAGCATGAGCAAGTAGCAATGTATAGCCAAGGAGCTAGGTGGGGTCAGAGAATGGAAAATTACTAAGAGAAACCACTAAGGTGTGGAGGGACCAACTCACAGAACTCCGGGTGAAAGCAGACATCACCCGAGGCAAGGCGGAGGAGGAGTTACCAGATGTCAAGGGTGATAAGGCTTGGAGAATGGGGGGATTCTGGGTAAACTGATTTAGCAGGATTCTTGCTAAAACTGGACAATGTAGAAACAAAAATGGAAATCCAACAGTTGAGGCCTAGTTGAAAAACAACTCAGAGGAGCCTGATTAGTTTGGTCAAGGAGAGGCTCTGTCAGTGTGGCCAGCCGAAACACTAAATACTCCCTTTGCCTTTAAAAAAGATTTCTAGTCTTTTAAAAATGTCTAACTGGACTGTTGTCAAAGAATGTGGTACTTATGATGCCAATTCTTTGAAATGTGTTGAGACTTCTTTAATAGCTAGCATGAGGTCATTTTTTGTAACAGTATGATTGAAAATGTTTTTTTTATTAATTTGGGGATGCAATATTTTGTCCATTAAATCAAACTTGTTAATTTTGCTCTTCCTATATTCTGCATCTTTAATGAGTTTTTTTGGTGAGCTTTTCTATCAATTACTGAGAAAGATAGTTTAAAAATAACTCTCTGTGACAGTGGATTTGTCAGTTCTCTTTGTGTTCTGTCAATTTTTGCTTTATACATTTTGAAGCTCCATTATTAAATACGTAAGAGTTCATGAATATTTTCTGTTCTTGGCGAATTAACTCTTTTACTGTTATGTAATTACCTTCTTTACCTCTAGCAATATTTCTTGCCTTAATGCTGTGTGTGTCTGTCTGCAGCTACATTAACTTTCTATGGTTAATATTTGCCAAGTATACCTTTTTCCAACTTTCCAGTTTCAAGGTTTATGTATCCTTATGTTTTAGTATATAGCTAGATTTATAAAAATGTAGAATGAGAGTATTTTTCTTTCAATTGGGAAGTTCAGTCCATGTGCTTATGGAGTAATTACTAATAGATTTGGATATATTGCTAACACCTTTTAATGTATTTTTTATTTATCTGAATTTTTATGTTTGTGGGTTTGTTGCAGGGGGTGGGGGGCAGGAGGTTGGTTTCTTTGTCTTTCTCTTTCTCCCTATTCCATACTCTCTGCCTGCTTTTTGGGAAATTGCACACTCTATGTTATGAGTTTTATCAAGGGCTATTTCCCTACCAGAACAACCATGATGAATATGTTCATGCAGTTTCTAATGTAAGAATAACCTTGTAGTCCTGAAGCAACTGTTTGATTCAGGGTATTTATCTTAGCACAGTGGTAGATTTTTACTTTGTTTGTCTGGTGCTATCTGGATTACCTTCACTTGACTAAATGAATTATGAAGATTTTCATGTTTTTCAATATTTTGAAATAGTTCAGACAGCTCTCAAAGAGAAACAGAGTTGGACACTAATTAAAAGCAGTAAAGACATTTTATTTAGTACCACTGCAATAAAGGAGAGAGGCTTCAATAAAACTGAACTCAACTCCCAATTGAGCAAAGTCAGCTGGGGATTTACAACGCCAACAAGAAGAGTAAGGGTTGGGGCCGGCGGGGGCGGGGGAATGAGTGGGTGGAAAATTATAAATAGAAGACAGCAAGCCTGGAGGACTCTTGCTAAACTGGCTTAAGAAGATTCTTGCTAAAGGCAGGCCAAGAACTTAGATATCAAGAGTAGAGGATGAGAAATTTGATCAGATATCAAGAATGGAGGGGAATCTACCTAAACTGACCTAGCAGTGAGACAGGAGGGAAGCAGGCAGGGCACAACCAACAAAAGAAAGACACAGCAATTGAGGATATGACACAAACTGGTTAGACCCAACCAGGCTCAAGATGACAGAGGAGCTGAGTTCCAGTGGACCTTGAGCCTTATATGCTCATTGGAATGTATCAGCATGCTAAATTACACACCCACAGGTGCCCTGACAGTTCCAAGGCTGAACATAACAGGCCAAAAAATGGGTAGTGGCCCAATTTTGAGAAATCCCTGTCCCTTCCCCAGAAAAGAATAATCCTCCCACCCGTTAGCATATGAAATTATGGAGCCCATAAAAACTAATCACCCCACCCGCTGGGGCCTCTCACCTTTTGAGATGCCCACATCGTGTCAATGGGACGTGTATCTCCTAAGGAGCTTTCACTTTCCAGGACAATCCCATCTCCTGGAGCTGCTGCTCTGCCTTCTCAGACTGCCCACACTCTGTCTGTCTACGGAGTTTTTAATCTCCCTGAATAAACCTGCTTTCAATTTACAATGGCTCAGTCTTGAATTCTTTCGTGCTGAAGCCAAGGAGCCTCACTTGATGGGGTACATCCCAGGAACTCACCCAAGAACTGGGACACAGCCATGCTCTTGTACCCCTTTTTCCTGCAACAGTAGGATTCTTGCTGAAACTGGGTTCCACAAGCCAAAGACGGCCCAAGGAGGAGGCCTAGTAGGAACGAGAGCTCAAAGGAACCTTCCTAAAGTTTGGTCAAGGGTTGGGTCTTTGCTGCACCAACAGAAAGAGGCAGAGGAAACTAGCAGTTATTTTTAGAAAACCAAGTATTACAATCAAAGCTACTATACTGATCTGCCCCAAATGTCATGTCCCTCTCCAGATCCCGGTGGCAGATCCAGCTGGCCACACATGTAATTGGAGATTTGGCATTCTACACAGTGATGCTTTTGGAGCAAACAGGGCAGCACCTGACACTGAGCTAGAAAGGAAGCCCAGTAACCACCATTCATGGAGTGCCCGCTGTGTACCGGGAACGTTAACCACATCTGCTCACTCTACTAACAACTCTGTAAGCGACGCCCCAGGGCTCCATTTATCTCAGAGCAGGAAGGTGAGCCTTCGCCACGGCTGTCTGCCCCTTCTCCCCTACCCATGAGTGAGAAACCGACAGACTCCAGAGAGGGGCTACCTTAACGCAGCCGGGGTAAGGTCGCCGAGCAGCTCGCTCATCGCGTGGCAAGCCACGACCTGACCGAAACGATGCAGTCGTCCCAGGAGCCAGCACCTCCGGTCCACTGGAACCCCCGGCCCGCAGCTGGCCTGCCGCGGGCCCGCGCCTGCGCACTCTGACGCCT